CTTATATATGTTACAAGAAGCTTATTTTCTTGTTGTCATTTTATTGGCCACATTCATTCTCATATAACATTGCAGATCTTATATCTTTGTGATAAAACTTCCTTAAGCACATGCAAGACTAATGTAAACATCATCTCATTCTTGACTGTTGGTGTAATCATATGACAATAGTAAAATCTTTTGATACCTAATTTTGTGTTCTCACGCTAATATTGACTTAATCATATATATCTTTAGTAGCTCGAAATTAAACAATTTGTACAGCTTTCTAATGTATAATTTTCCAACAAAACATCTCTAAGCAAATTATCACACACCTTTTCTAAATCAATGAAGACAATATGCAACTTCCTTTTGTATCTCTCCATCAATCATTATAGCTAGTATATAATATCCATATTTGACCTCCCCGACATAAAACCAAATTGATTACATTGATATGTGTCTCTTGCATCAACTTTCGCCCAATTATTCTCTCTCATAGTTCATATGGTCATGAGCTTAATCCTATGTAGGTTGTACATATTCATATGTGGTCCTAGTTCTTATAAATAGGAATTATATGCTTATCTTCCATTCGTATAACATATTCTTAGACATCATGAATAAGCAACTTTTTGAGTCCACTAATGATCCACTCTACTAGAACCTTCCGGACCTCATTAGACATATGATTTAGTCTAATGACTTTGTTGTTTTCCTTCATTTTCAAAGCATATCTCACATCTAACTCTCGAGTTCTAATATATAATGTATAATTTTTGTCCTCATCTTTCGTGTTTAATTTATATAATATCCCTTATTGAATAACTTGTGAAAACAAATTTTCCTTTTTCCTTAATATCCTTATCATTTATCAAGACATTTCCATCTTTATCTTTAATGTATTTCACTTTTTCCGAGTCTCTATATTTCTTTCCATATCCTTTACAATAGAAACACTTCTTTTTCTCTTGATATTTAGAGATTTATATCATCATCATATATTTTATTAGCTATCTTATATTTTTCGTGATTTTTAATGCTTTTACATAAAAATCATAATTTATATTCCGTGCTCCCCTTAATTTTTTTTAACAAAACTAGTATCTATAAATTTTTACTAAATTTCCATGTACCATATAAATTTAATAAAAAACTTGTATGTCTTAAAAAAAACTATTTTTGGAGCCAAAGAAATCTATTTAAAAGTTAGATGAAATTGCAAAATAATAAAGAATATAATATTTATGTACTAACAATATAAACCATCATTTATTAGTATTTTTTTGAAGAATCAACAATAATTAAAAATAAATGATCAATGATGAACTATATAAAACTTTTATAATGTGACACATACAATTTTTTCCCTAAATAATAAAAGGATTAAAGTAGTAATGCAAAAGGGGCTTGAGGTAATAGGTTAATGAGAATGAAAATCACATATCCTATTTTTTATTTTTCAATGTGTAACAATTTAGTTAAAAACTATCATGTAATAAAAAAGAAAATAATAAAAAAAGAAATAACATTTTTTAAATTACTTAGTACAGTGTGATTAATTTAGATATAAATTATTTTGCAACGTTTGATAATTAACAGTAATAATCCATTGAATGGAACCACTTAGGATAACACCACAACACGTGGTTGTAGTCGGAGACAAAGCTAGCGCTGCTGAATACAGATAACAGAAACCCTCTTCAAAATCTCTTATTGCTATCTCTCTTTCAATTCTCTTACTCATATTCATTATTGTGAAGGATCAATCAATCACAGTAGTGAAACCAGTACAACAACTACTTCTATTATTGCTATAGTTAAAGAACCAACCCAAAATGTTTATTTTTTGTTCCATATGCAAAGGTTGAATAGAATTCACAACCATTGCAATGCTTAGTTCAATTATGTCTACACTTCTGAATTCTGTGTCTCCAGCTGCTGCTATTATTTCATCAGAAAAAACAAAACAAAGAGGCTATTGTTTCTTCTATTCCCAGGTTCAAAATCTTCATTCTTTTTCACTTAGCAATGGTTTTTCTAGAGTTTTGGCTTTGAGCCAGATTACCCTTTCCCATAAAGATTCAGTTTTTACTATTCCCAATTGGAGGGTTGGGAAGAATGATCAAAAGAGTAAGGAGCTTAGGATTAATGATGCATTTCTTCATTTAGAGTATATGGTGGATAAGGGTCATAAGCCTGATGTAAGTCGAGCAACTCAGCTATTGTATGATCTTTGCAAATCGAATAAAGCGAGGAAGGCGTTTCGGGTGATGGAGATGATGGTAAATTCAGGTATTATACCTGATCCAGCTTCTTATACATATTTGGTTAATTATTTGTGCAAGAGAGGCAATGTTGGATATGCAATGCAGTTAGTTGAGAAAATGGAAGCGCGCAAACTTCCAACTAATACCGTTACTTATAACACTCTACTTAAAGGGCTTTGCACACAAGGGAATTTGAACCAGTGCTTGCAGCTTTTAGATCGGTTAACGAAGAAAGGACTAGTTGCGAATGCTTTCACGTATTCCTTTTTGTTGGAAACTGCTTATAAGGAAAGGGGAGTGGATGAAGCCATGAAACTTCTAGAAGAGATAATTGATAGAGGCGGTGAACCTAATTTAGTTAGTTATAATGTTTTGTTAACTGGATTGTGCAAGGAAGGTAGATTTGAAGAAGCCATTCAGCTTTTCAGGGAATTGCCTGCAAAAGGGTTCAATCCAAGTGTTGTGAGTTATAATATTTTACTAAGGAATTTGTGCTATGAAGGGAGATGGGAGGAGGCTAATGAGCTGTTAGCTGAAATGGATAAAGAAGACGAATCTCCTTCTATAGTAACATACAACATATTAATTACTTCTCTTTCTCTCCACGGAATGACGGAACAAGCGTTCAAAGTTTTAGATGAAATGACAAGGAGTGGGTTCAAGGCAAGTGCTACTAGCTATAATCCAATTATTGCCCGTCTCTGCAAGGAAGGGAAGGTGGAGCTTGTAGTTCAATGTCTAGACCAATTGATTTCTCGACGCTGCAATCCTAATGAGGGAACATACAACGCTATCGGGATGCTTTGTGAGCAGGGGAAGGCGCAAGAGGCGTTCTTTATAATACAAAGCTTAGCTAGTAAGCAAAACTACCATTTGCATGATTTTTACAGAAATGTGATTTCAATCCTGTGTAGGAAAGAAAACACATACCCTGCGTTTCAGATGCTATACGAAATGACAAAGCACGGATTTACTCCGGATTCTAATACTTACTCATCTTTGATAAGAGGACTGTGTAAGGAGGGAATGTTGGATGAGGCTACTCATATTTTCGGGATTTTGGAAGAATATGGCTATAAGCCTGATATTGATAACTACAATGCACTTATACTTGGATTTTGCAAATCGCGAAGAACGGACTTGTCGATGGAGATATGTCAGATGATGATTAATAAAGGATGTATGCCTAATGAGACAACCTATACCATTTTTGTTGAAGGGCTTGCTTATGAAGGAGAAACGGATATGGCAGCCGAGCTTCTGAAAGAGTTATATTTGAAAGAGGTTCTGTGCCGAAGTACTGTTGAAAGACTTTCTATGCAATATGACCTCAAGGAATTAGCAGTGTAGAGACATCAGACATATATGCAGTTAATTTGATAACTTGGACATCATTGTGGCTTGCACGACAATGTTTTCTTCTGGTAATATATGAGGGGATCGGAAAAAACCATTTCGCTTGCCAGGGTGAGACTGAGTACATACCCGACTCTCCTCATACCCCACCAAGTAGAAGCCTCGTTCACTGGGTCACTATATGACGAGGAGAACTCGTCATGTCTAGGAGATGCAATGCAACAATAAATGGGCACAAGAGTAGGATATTGAGAATGTTACTTGTGTTAATTTGTTATGAAGTGCTTTCTTGTAGAAAAAACTGAACTGATTTATCTGCCCATATATCAATGGATTTGAGTGAAACTGACACAGCTATTTTGAACTTCATAAGTGAAATCTATCAAGGTGTGTGTACAAGGTATTTGTAAGGACAAAATAAAATTCTTTAGGTATTGTGAATTGTGATGCTATTTTTTTTAACAAAAGCTTAACTTGTGTGAACAACATGCTATTTTTTTAGTATTCTTCAGGTAATTATGATACAACATTTATCAGAAAACAGCACTATTACATTTTTAAAATCTACACAAATGTAGAAAGGACTGATTTGCAGCATTTTCTTAACAATATAAAGTTGCATATGAAATGTTTACTATATAGCCATGATGATGGGATTACTATGTAGCAATAAAAACCTAAGCTATGAATGCTTTGTCGATAAATATAATTTATGATATGATAGAACATTAGGATATCATTCGATCGATATAATCGACTTATTTAATATGACTAATTTGACCTACATTTAGGATCAATTTGTATTTTTTAATTTTTAAAGTACCAAATTAATAAGGTTGGAAAACATAAAAAACTGAAATTAATATTTGCTCTTAAAACTAAGGGAGGGATCTACTTACTCCAAAAAACACTTACTCTTCATCTTAGCCATCCAATCTTGAAAAAATCAATGGTTTAGATGTACTCACAAATTCAAACTATTGGATTCCCAAGAATGAATGGTCATGATGTGGAATAAGTGTTTTTCCACTTACTCTTAGAGTAAGTGGATCCCTCCCCTAAAAGGGGAGAGATCTACTTACTCCAAAAAACACTTACTCTTCATATTAGCCATCCAAAAAACCATTGAACTTATTGTATATTTTTTTACACTTGAATCAATATATTAAAATATGAGGAGAGATCCATTGACTCAAAGAGTAAGTTTTTTAAACTTACTCCACATCTTAGACATTAATTCTAGGAAAACCCAATTGTTTGAATTAGTGGATAGATCCTCACCCTTAAAATATATATATATATATCGAATGGCACTGGCAAATTAGGTTTTTGTTAATGCTAGTGAATGCAACACATGTATTAAATATTAATATGTAAAGGAGATAAACATGAAGCACCAGTGGTCTAGTGGTAGAATAGTACCCTGCCACGGTACAGACCCGGGTTCGATTCCCGGCTGGTGCACTTTAGAACTGTGATGATACGTTGTGCATTGTGTGTTAGATGGGTCTTTCACAAGCGTCCTTGGACGAAACCAGCACATCTGAGTTCTTACTTTTTATTCTTGTTCTTTTATAAAAATATTTTGTAAAGAGTGTTCAAAACTTGATTCATTGTTTTACTAGTAATTGATTCCTAAGAAAAGCATAGAGTGTTTGTATATGTGAATGTATGACATTTTAAACGTGCCCATCAAGTGTTTGATAATATTTCTAAACCAGACCCCATTACTTGTTCCACATTGTTTTCAGCTTTCACCACTCATGGACTCCAAAACGGCGCTATCAAGCTCTATGCTTCATTGTGGGCACGTGGAATCAAGCTCGACAAGTTCGTGATCTTAGTAGTTGCCAAGGCTTCTGGCACTTCTAGTGATTTCTCGAGAATCGAGGAGGTTCACGACAATGCAATTTGATGTGGGATGATGTTTGATGTTTTCTTAGGCAACACGCTGGTACATGCCTATGCTAAGTCTAAATGTTTTGACAGTGCGAGGCCTGTTTTTGATGATTTGGTTGTGAAGGGTGTGGTCTCGTGGACCTCGTTGTACTCATGCTATGTTAATTGGGGATTGCCTAGGTAAGGTGCGGTGGTTTTTTGGGAGATGGGTTTGAATGGGGTGAAGCCAAATTCAGTTCTGTGTCTAGGGAAGAGCAGTTCATGGGTTTGCAGTGAGACATGGATGATAGAGAATGTTTTTGTTTGCAGTGCACTTGTAAGCTGAGTGTAAAAGAAGCTTTAGTAGTATTTGATTGGAGCCGTATCCAGATGTTGTATTTTGAATGGAGTTTTGACTTTTGACAGCATACTTCTCAAACAAAGAATATGAGAAGGGTCTTGCCCTATTTTCCCAAATGAGTAGAGAAGGAGTCAAACCGGATGAAGTGACATGGAATGCGGTTATCGATGGATGCATGGAGAATGGCCAAACAGATGGAATGCGGTTATTGATGGATGAAGTAACTTACCATCTTGCTCTATTTTAGAAAGCGTGAGGATGGGCAAGGAGGTACACAGCTATATCTTTAGGCATTGGTTAATTGGGGATTTAACTAGCACAACGACTCTAGTATATATTTAAGCTAAATGTGGCAACTTGAATCTTTCAAGAAGAGTCTTTGATATGACGCCCAGAAAGGATGCTATTCCTTGGAATACAATGATCATTGCAAATGCCATGCAAGGGAATGGAAAACAAGTGCCTTTGCTCTTTGAGAACATGCTCCAGTTTGTGGTCAAGCCCAATTTGGTTACTTTTATTGGTATTCTGTCTGGTTGTAGCCACTCAAGGCTTGTAGATGAAGGCCTCTTGATTTTTAACTCAATGGTTAGGGATCATTCTGTGGAATCTGATGCTAGTCACTATTCATCTATGGTTGATGTCTTTAGCCATGCTGGTCGTCTTGATGAGGCATATGAGTTTATACAGAGAATGCCAACTGCTCGTGCTTGAGTGTGCTTCTTGGTGCTTGCAGAGTTTATAAGAATGTGGAGTTGGCAAAAATTTCAGCCAAGCAACTATTTGATATTGAGCCCCACAACCCTGGAAATTATGATTCATTGTTCAACATACATATTACTGCTAAATTGTGGAGTGAAGCTTCAGAAACCAGAATACTAATGAAAGAGAGAGGAACTAAAAAATATCCAGGGTGTAGTTGACTTGAAGTGAGAGATAGAGAGTGACAAAACCTTCAAGTTCTTATATGAGTTGGGTGAGAAAATGAAATTGGTTCGGTATAAGCCTGACACCAATTATGTTCTGCAAGATGTTGATCAGGAGGAAAAAGCCGACAATCATTGCAACCACAGTGAGAACCATGCTACTGCTTTTGGGTTACTTAATTTGAATGGACAGTCATCTATAAGGGTTTTTAAGAATTTGAGAATATGTGGTGACTGCCACAATGCTATTAAGTACATGCCTAAGATTGTTGGTGTGACGATCATTGTCAGAGATTCCCTCAGGTTTCATCAGTTCGGAATGGAAATTGTTCTTGTCAAGACTTATGGTGATTAATTGAATCAGGTTATTGGGACTTACCTACTGTGAAGATCAGGTTACAATTTATTCAAGTGTTTCTTGTATAATTGATGTGGTTAAGTTAACAACAAAGTAATACCATAAGATGGTTGTGAAAGACTAATTTCAAGGTCCTGCTACTTCAAAAGCTTGCCATATGCAAAAATCTGTCTATTGACTCTCGTGACGATACACTGAAAGTTGTTCATGCTCTGGAAGGAGACATCTTGTAGCAGATTTTAATGAAGGAATCAGTCCCGGTTACAACACTGTTTTCAGTTCTTATGGAAACTCAGATTAATACCTCATAATATCATGAGTACAATTTAAACCAATATGACATCAGCAGTGAAGAGCATCAGCACTGAACCACAAGACAAATGGAAATGAATATGATGAAGAATAGCCAAGGTTTCAGTGGAAGATCTTGAACCTTTAACAATTGTTTACTTGTATAAAAGTCCATATCCTTGATTTTCACCCATGTCCTTTTAATTACTGACTGACATGTTTGGAGTGACTTACCAATTAAATTTGTTCTCAAACGATCATCTTTTGAATCTTATTTATCAGGATATTCATCAAAATAACACAGTTAAATTCTTTCATTCCATCTTATATTTTCAGTTTAAGTATTTGAAGTAAATCCACTGTTCTCCATTGTTGCTTATTTGGCTACAATATCCTGGTAGTTTGAAGTAGGTTTTGTTAGTGTGTTAATATCACTTTTTTTTTTTTTGTAAGGTTTGGATTGTGTAAAAAAGGACGGCCAATGCATGAGGCTCTCACCTAATGAGCTCTAGGGATAATAGATATACACAACCTTACCCTCTCAAGTGAATATGTTGTTTTCAAGATTTGAACTATGGCCTTCACCTCACAAGGTAACCAACTTTACCTTGTGCGAAATTCATTGTTCCCAAGAGAATACATTGTTTCCAAGAGTTGAACTCATCCTTCATATCACAAGGTAACTAACTTTACCTTGAGTTAGACTCACCCTCTTAAGGTCTTGATTGTGTGTGTATTAGAAAATATATGATTTTTGACCAAGTGATTTGTTAGAAAAGATAAGGGGTTGCACCTTCATAAATCTGCATATATGGGAATGTGATTATTGAAGCTAGTTGTACAAAATACTGATCTAAGAGTTGATAAAATTACAGATTGGAACAAACTCATTTTTGTGGTGATGGATTATATTAATTTTTCAACAACTTTGAAATCATCAAGCACCAGTGGTCTAGTGGTAGAATAGTACCCTGCCACGGTACAGACCCGGGTTCGATTCCCGGCTGGTGCATAAAATATTTTATTTTATTTTTGTCAACTAGTAAATTTTGATATACATTTGGTGTAGTACTGATTCATTATATGATTGATTTTTCATTCAAAAAAAAATAGAGTAAATTATACTCATAACCCCTGAGTTTTAATGAAATTACACAAACCATCCCTATCTTTTTTGTCCTTACACCAACCACCCCTCCCTCCTACACAAACTACCCCTAAATTTATACATACATTACACTGACTACCCCTACATGTTATAAAAGTGTAATATTTTAAAGAAAAAACGTGTGATGAATGTAATTAAGTTAAACAAAATATTGTGTACTGTGTAACACGTCAAATAGTACAAAAGTATTATTTTTGTGTCATTAAAAAATACATTAATAATTTCAAATAAATGTTTAAATAACTCTTATATTATTTTATAACGAGTCAAATAATGAAGATGTATTGACTCTTATATTATTTGAATTTGTCTACACAATATACAATATTTTGTTTAATTAATTGCACACATAATACATTTTTTGTTTAAAATATTACACGTTTATATCATGCAGGGGTAGTCACTGTAACATATGTACAAAATTAGGGGTGGTTCGTGTAAGGACAAAAAAGTGAGGGGTGGTTTGTGTAATTTCACTATAAAACTCAGGGGGTGTGAGTGTAATTTACTCAAAAATATATGATTAATATTATTCTGAATAAAAGTAATCCAATAATATAAAAATTCTATATGTGATTTTCTTACCCAAAATTCAGTAGACTGAAAATTTTGCTATGTATACTAAAGAAAGTAGAATGCCTATAGTTTCAGTGAGTTTCTTTTAAGTTTTTCATGTCCAATAGCTATGTCAGAGATTATAGACGACAAAAACAAATTTTCAATTGAACATCCACAGTTTTTGGTTGCTACTGGATTTGTAATTGCTGAGTGCATGTGATTCTGTCATTAGAAACAGAAGATTGCAAGTAATATTTACTCTTCTGAGTTGGACAATTGGCTTAATGCTGCACAAAACACAATTCTTCAGTGTGATAGGAATCACGAATTGGTTCTTGCTTACCAATTCATGGTTCTTTTGTGAATTTATTCTCTGTATGAAACGAATCATATTTTTACCCACAGTGAGTTAGAAGGAGTATTTCTCCTATAGTGAAGCAATAAATGATTTAAACCTACAAGAAGCTGTTAAAAACGATTGTGTGAGAAACTATAGAAACCCTACTCAATATACCTAACATAACGATATTGGACAAAGTAACGTCCTCGTATTTGATAGACTAATGTATCACTACGACCCATATCAAATAGAAGGGTACGTACCCATATCAAATAGAAGGGTACGTACCCATACCAAAGAGAACCACATATAAGTGAGTATGGACCAGATAAGGAATTTCTGCTGGAGCAACTATTCTGCTGGGTGTTTCAATTGTAGGAATAGATTAGAATGCATTAACATAAGTTGATATAAAATTTCATAGCACTTAGCTCTGTATACTTAAAAGTATGACAATCAAGAAATTTATTTGTATAAGATCACACTGTAATGTTATGGAAAGTAAAGAAATTGTTTATTTTTATTTCCACTTTGAGCTTGAATGTCTAGGGTTAGGTTTGACTGATATTTATTTTTGCCATTTAACAATACCTGAAATTGGACCCTAAAACACACACAAATGTAGCGTCTGAAAATAGTTTCTAGCTCTCTTAACTTGTAAGAGAAGGATT